TCTAAATGCATACTGGGTCTCAAAATGTTATCTAATGATAGCATCTAGTTGTTCTGATTAGCAAGACTGTTAAAAAACTGTTTACCATAAATTCCAACTTCAAAGTATTCTATGTGTATTTTATAATGTCTGCATAATACACTGGCATATGTATTTATAACAAATGATTAATAATCATTTGTTAAGGAGTTGCTGCTCATAAAAAATTATTGAAATTAGAATATGACCAAATATTCTAAATTTATATGAACCTGTTTCACACCCCTGTGGTACCTCTTACTGTGTGGCTTGGAGCAAGCTAAGTAACCCCACCCCATACCCCACACCCACCAAGATTCAGTTTTCATATCTTTAAACTAGAGTCATGAGGATTAAAGGAACTAATGTTAGTGAGACACTGAACATAGAAAAAAACAACAAAAAAAAATCCAATCTTCGTTATCAGTCTCCTAGCACAAGAATTCATTGGGGAAGGCAGAAGGGGAAGTCCTAATAGTTGGAACCAAGGAGACCTGCTACTACATGAAATATGGTACATTGTGAAGATACTATTGTCATTGGTCATATTAGCTATGTGACTGGTATAAGTAGTGAAAGAGATAATCAGATAATGAGAATAAAAAGACAGAGGAAGCTGTAGGATACACCAAGTGCAGTTGCCCCTCTAGGAAATTCTCTGATGGCATTATAGAGCTAGCTTCTTTTAAAAAAAATAATTAAACACTCTTTTGCCAGAATGCTTCATTGCCTCATTAAATAAAGCAAACCCATGTGGGAAAGACATAACTTTGAAATACTTGATCTGGGAAGATTTTTTACTCACTTCTTATAGGGAGAACCACTGAGTAAGACATATTTTAGTTTTTTCACTCTAGTTTCTCCTGAGAATTCAGTCACAAGCTATGTTTTTAAATGTGAAGAGACCAGTGGAGCAGATATAAATACAAACTAAGTGTAATCAGCTGGAGCAAATCAGAATATTCCAAAGAAGTGTCAAGGTTTTCAGAATCCAAGAAGAAAGAAACAGGAGTCTCAGCTGAGTACCTAAGAGAACTGTTATCTTAGGTAGATTTGCTAAAACATTATGTGGTGCCTTCTTTCAAATGAGAATCCCTAGGGAAAATTACCTGTCACTATTTGCTTTGTTCACTATTTCCCTTAATGTCTTTCTAAGAGCCCATTTTCCAGAACCACACACTAGACAAAAGAGAGTCCCAACCTTCATCTAAAATCCAAATGGAAAACACCACAGTGGAGTTAATATTCTCAGTTTCCTTTGAAAAAAAATGACTGAGGAATCAAAACACATGAAATGCTAGGGGAAGAACAAGGGGCTACTCAAATGACAGCCCTTTTGGACTTTTGCTTATTTAAGTCCAGTCACTTCGCTTGGATGTTCTACATTTACAGAGACGACAGGATCAAAATTAGCAGGCTATAAAAGCCTAAAATTAAGAACTCCCATTGAATTTTTAAAAAAATACTCATCAAATCCAAGAACAAATGTATATAAAACAGGAGAATCTAAACAGTACTTACCTACTCTCTCGAAGTTTCTGGATATATTTGTATTTATCAGTCAATGTACCGTTGGATGTGATCACTGCCTAAATGTATATGACACAAGAAATTTCTTTTAGCATCCAACTAATTCAGTCCTACAAACATGGGCTGGTGGCCAATAGAAAAGAGGCAGAGAGGCAGAAGTCAAAAGTCACCCACACTCTCCTCCTGCTGTCTCCCAAAATTGAGTCAGACAATCTCTCATATTAACATCTCTCACATCTCTCATATTAACATCCCAGCATCCTTCTAGCCTTCCTCCCTTCTTCCTAAATTTCCAGAGAGAAAGAAAGAGGGAGAGAGAATGAACAAAGGACAGAGGGGAGTGAGGATGGTATTCAGAAAATACATTCATGTAAAGAAATTCTTATAACTTACGTCTCGCACCACAGGAGAAAAATTTTGACTTTCAAGAGGCTGTGATGCATCCGATAATAACTGAAAGAAAAGAGATTCAGGAGAGATAAGTTATATTGAGAAGGTGACTTCTTGGTCTTTGTATCCATACTAAAATATTAGTCAAAAAACTGAAAAAAAAATATTAGAATTTATTGAAGATCATTAAATATAAATACTTGGCAATAGAAATCTTCTACAAGTAATCAAGTCTGCTCCTAATAGTGTGTGGTATTTCCATCCAATTTTAAAACTAAATTTTGACGGCAATCATTGCTTGCTAAGAACACACACAAAAGCTGATCTTTCCCACCTACTTAGATGCATCATATTGAGTAGATTATAAATAACCTCAAGCTTTAGACCTCTGTTACAGAGATCCTCCATTCCAAAGGTTTAAGCTGATCCTTTGGAAGTAGAGAATGGGGTTTGCACTCAGCAAGCCCCCCCCMCMCACACACACACAGTATGAGCTCTATGTGTAGGCATATTGGCATCTTGAAAGTGGTGGAGAGAGTGACTTGAAGAAACAGAACACAAAAGTCACACACACTCTCCTCCCACGGTCTCCCAATATTGAGTCACACAATGACAAAAGTCACATCTCTCATATTAACATCTAAGCGTTCTTCTAGTCCTCCTCCCTTCTTCCTAGATATCCAGCCTTATATATACTGCCAAGCAATAGAGGGTATATAAGTCAGTGTTACATCTGATTGGCAGGGAAGCCAATTTCTAGAGCCCTTACCCAAGTGAAAAGGAGAAGATGTACCTAGCAGCAACAGAGGGTTTACTTACTGTACTAAGACAAATAGAAATTATTTTCATGTATCATCCCATAAGACGTACAGGCTATCTATTGGAATACAGACACTTTTTTCTAAAAGACAAAAGATGTGTATCTGTAAGACAAGAGATACTGTGAGAAGCTCACGGAGTCAACAAAACTGGGGTCCTCCCAGTGATTCCCTCTCAGTCACCTCTGCAGGATTCCCTTCTTGGAAAGATTTCTAAGAAGATTCCTCCCAACGTGACCACAGACTAGAAGATGCTAATAAATAATAATGTGAGGTTCTAATGTCATTTGGCATGTGGTCAGTGACTCAACTTGTGCAATTCCCTCTGTTTGCTCTTTTTTGTCTCTAATTCCACAGCCTTATCTGGGCCTCACTGTTACCAAGAGAACTGCCTCCTACCTCAAACTCTTCCATCTCTCCCCAGTCTAAAATGCCAGTTTGATTATTCTATGTCTGTTTAAAATAACCAAGTAGCTGGCTCTCTGCTGCCTTTAATATGAATTCTCTAGCTTCCTAGATGGTTACTAGACTCTCTACACCCTCAGCTCTTTTGGGTCTTCTACCAAACACTCATTCCTATTAAACAGCTTGCCCTTGCCTACCTGGAACTAACTCCCTCTCTTCTTCCTCCAAGATATAACTGAAGAACCATCTCTTCTCTGAATCCTTTACCAAAATCTGCCTCCAAGTACATCTTCAAGGTAAGAACTGCACATAGCATCTTACCATGTGTCTGCCACATGATACGATGGCAAATATTCAACAAATAAATGATTGGATACATGAAATAATAAATTATTTAAAACTAAATAGATTTTTTTTTCCAAACAGAGAACCAAATAGTTGGCAAGAAAGATGAATGTAGAAGACAACAAAAATCTGCTCAATTACTGCATTTAACTGTCTCCCTTTCTAGAATGTGATCATAACAAAATTCAAGCACAAGGGTCCTAAATCATAGGGTATCTCTTGTCACTTTAACATATAAGACCTTTGATAGCCCATCACTGTTTCCTAAATTAATAGCAAGCTATTCATCTTAGTGTTTAAAAAGTCTTACAGAAACAAAATTAAAAATAAACATGACTCTTTACAATATAAAAGTAACACATTTATCTTTACTGAGTCAGACTTGACAACTCCACTCACAGAACCCATCCCTTAAGAAAATTCCTACCTTTGTTTCATCTCCTTCGCATTAAATGTCTCCCACTCAAGCCAACTTAAGTGTCATCTCTTTCCTAAGTTGGTTCAACAAGAAGCTCCCTCTCCCTCCACAACTCCACTAGCATCTTTTTGWTGGCGATCACATCCCAGCTTATGGCAGGGTTGTACAGTTGCCCTGTCCTCTTTCTGAATCTCATGCTTCTACAGGTCAGAAGCCATACTTTAATCTCTCTCTATAGGCAAGCTTTGTTCCAACAAAAATCTACCAAATGTAACTGAAACAAAATTGCCAAATTACTTGCAAAGTGATAGCCTGTATCCTGCAATACAACAGAGCTTGGGTGGACCTTGAGTCAAAAAAAAAAAAAAAAAAGGAGAAAGGAAAGAATAAAGAAAGAAAGGTAACCTAGAGGAAAAGAGGAAAGTGCATATACTCTAAATCTAGTTTCAATGAGGGTATCAGAAATACTACATAGACAATATAGTGATTTTTTTAGTGGCAAGCAAACATACATATATCAAGACTATGAAATAAAGACATTCACTGTTTTTCACAGAAGGCCAGTGCTTAAAGATAATGCTGAGACAGATGGCCCTAAGATGATACCTCTGCTACTATTTGGAGAACTATAGGTACATATAATATGAAGAAGCTGGTTTAATCATCAGATACCCAAGTAGTATCTCCTGCCTCAATGTAACCCAAAATCTGACATTTTTAAGATTGCTGTACTGCCTAAAATTCTATCAACCATTGGATTTACACAGGTGCAAATATATCAACTTCTTAAATGTATATTTTCTATCCAGCAATGGTCATTATCTAGTTTCAGACCAATCTCTACTGAGAAAAAAAATGGCTAAACATAAAAAAATGGCTAAACATAAAAAGCCTCAAATTTTAGGCTCAAAAAGTATTGAAGACTTGATGTACCTTAACTTGGAAAAGAAAGCCCAAAGAGATGAGTCCAACATTTGACATCCTTTGTCTCCTTCAGGCAGTTGCCAACAGAAAAGTAGTGTCTGAAATGCTGAGAGGTTGAGCAGAAGACAGCAGAAAGGCTGAAAAGCTGGGAAGAGATTTTGTATGACTTTTAACAGTAGAGTAACAAAAACTGGAATTTGAGGTCAGTTGAAGAGAAAKCCTAATAAACACAAGATTTTCATTTAGGATACTAAAAGACTCTATTCTAAAATAAGTAGTAAATTGAAGAACATTAGTTCTCAAAGGACTGGAGCACAGCTTTGAGTTACTTACACCCCTAACTGAATTGAGGTGATTTTCTCCTAATATAGATATTTGTTCCCTGTCAAAAACAAAGGAAATCTCTAGAGGAAAATCACACCACATCCAGAGCCTCAAATCATCTCTAAAACTTTATATATGTAGTATCTATCATTCAATCAAAAATAAACAGGCATATGAAATGATAAGAACTGACTTTGAAAACCTAAGAAAAGAGCATAACATAAACAGACACAAGAAGTTAATTGAAATTATCAAAAAATAAATTTAAACTGTGATTAGTACCTTCAAAAAACAAAAGTACAAGATAGCTAACTTAAATAGAGAATGGATAAATTTTTAAATGATCAAATATAAATTCCCATTAGATTATAAAATAAAATAATTAAAGTTAATAATTCAGTCAGCTAAAGGGAAGATTAATGAATTGGTACACAGGACATCTATATAACTTTCAAAAGTCACCAAAATTTTCCACTGTTAGAAGTCAGGATAGTGGGTACCTTTAGGAAGAAGAGTCCCCCCTTCTTCCCATAGTGCTGRGAGAAGAAGAAGGGGGTTTCTGGGATGCTAATAGTGTTCTACTTTTGACTTATGTAGTATTCCCAGGGGTCTCTTTGTGATAAGTTATCATGCTGTACTCTTATATATAACTTATCAGGGATGCTTTACTATTTTATAAGTATTTACTTAATATAAAATATTGTATTTATATTTTGTCTTTAATAAAAATTGTATTTATTAATACATTTACTGTTATAATAAGTTACATGGGCTAACTCTCAATCATACTTTAGTGCAAATTCATTGAACTGGTTCGTTTTTCTCCTAACATCCATTTGAGGTGAACTGTACTGAGTGAATGACAATTTTTACTAAAGACAAACAAGAATAAAATTTTGTGTTCTAAGGGACAAAATAAATAAACATATTTAGAATGTTGAGACATAATTTGTAAATTTACAATGACTTATAACAAGTTCTTTGAATGGAAGACAATGTTAGAGCAACTCTAATGAAATGGGACAATTCAAGAATTAATAGTCAAAGCCATCCACAAGACACATTGATATTTAATATTTTCCATAACTTAGCCTAATTAAGTAAGAATTGTGCTGAAATCCATAATTTTAGCATCCAAAATTATGACTTATAGCTAAGATTCTCCAGTAGCACTTCTGGCTACTATAAAACTCTGCTAGAGCCAAGTTGATTTGAATATACTTCTCAGGACCAGAGGGTTTCATTTTAGGGAAAGACTAAGCTCTTGCAAACCACCACTCCTACAGATAACAAAATGAGCTCCGGGCAAAACACAAGCAACAACAAACTACATTGGGGACTTCAGAGAATGAAGAATAGCCAGCAGCCTGTGGAGAAGTATGAAAACAGGGAGGAAGACCAGAGCAACCGTGGAGTTGCCCTTTCTATGGGCATTGCTTTAAGGAAAAGTCATGCAGCATGAGTGGGTGAAACATGTTGAAAATGCACCAACTTTCTGACTTAAAGACACAGTGATGGGGCCCATAGCAAGCCTCCAATGTGAGAGGATAAATGCCAAGAAAGGTAGATTCAAAAAAAGGACCGCCCAACTTCTAGGTAAACTACTCTGCATCTCTAAGGACTCCCACACTGAGCAAGAAAAGGCCAGATTATAGGCTTGCCAGGTAAAAATAAAAGAGCTGAAGGTTTATTTGACCTACTCCTTTCCACAGGTGAGAGAATTTTTAGCTAGCCTCTAACCAAGATAATATTCTACTTTAGAAAATTAATACTTTTTATAAAATTATAACAATCCAGAATCTTCACAGCAAAACATTCATGTCATTCAGGACACAAGCCCAAATCACTCAATATATGACAAGTAGAAAACCATGATCCATTCTCAAAGGAAGAACAATCAACAAAGTTCAATCCCAAATTCACTCTGAATGTTGCAAGGTTATATACATTACTGCCTCCTTAGCCATGGTTTTACTCTCCACGGTTTCAATGACCCTTAGTCAATTACAGCCCAAAAATATTAAATAGAAAATTCCTGAAATAAAAAAATGCATACATTTTAAATTGTATACCATTCTGGGTACCATGATGTAATTTTACATAGTCCTGCTTCCTTCTACCAGGCATGGGACTCATCCCATTTTCTATTGTATCCACTATGAATGTTACCCACTCCAAAGTCACTTTGTCTTGGTTATCAGATCATTTGAGGTGGTATTGCATTGCTTATGTTCAAGTAATCATTATTATATATTAATCCATTGCTATGAATCTGTACCTAGGCAATACACCTCACGTCATCTCATCCCATGGGCATTGTATCATCTCACATCACGACAAGAAGAAGGCTATATACAGTGCAATAAGAAATTTTGAGAGACAGCACACTGACATAACTTTATTACAGTATATTTTTATAATTATTCTATTACATTATTAGTTATTATTATTAATTTCTTACTGTGTCTGATTTAGAAATTAAACTTTATCAGAGTTGGATATGGTAGTGCACACCAACTATAATGCCAGTTACTCAGGAGGCTAAGGCAAGTCTAGCCTAGAAAAAATAGCAAGTACCAATCTCAAAACAACAACAACAAAAAACCCTTTATCATAGGAACACATCTATAGCTAAATGCATAGAACATAACAGAAATATCAATGGTTTCAGGTATCCACTCAGGGTCTTAGAATATTTCTCCTGCAGCTAAGGAAATAAAAATAAAGACTATAAAGTGGCTTTTATAACTATGCTCCATATAATAAGCAAAAATGCACTCATGAAATATTAAAAGAAATTTTTAACAAGGAAACCAAAAACTGCCAAAACATGGCAATTCTAGAACTGAAAATACAATATTCAAATTTTCTTTTAAATCACAGGAGGGGCTTGTTAGCAGAATACAGAATACGAAGACATTTTCAGATAAAAGATAAAAGAACCTGTTACAGCAAGTCTGTACTTTAAAAAGTGCTAAATTAAGAAGTTCAGTCTGCAAGAAAATAGGGCTAAAAGGAAATGAATGGAAAGCATCGAAAATAGTAAGTATCTGGAGAAATTTACTATTTTTTTTCTATACACATACTATACAGGCACTGAGACATTTACAATTTCAGAATTTTAGGACTGCAGAGACATTAAGGTGATATATTACCAGCACCTCATATTTTCAGAGGAAATGTCTGAGGCTTAGAAAGGTAGTGCTTAAGGCCATAAAAGCAAGCAGATGTCTCCAAGACAACCTGGCATATGGACTCTCCTTATGCTACTTTAATCCCTCAACACCAGCTCCAAGACACATTGCAGGTCCAGCACCCATCAGAAACTCTTCACAGTCTCAACTTCTCTTTGCTTCTATTTCTTAATCTGTAAATGGGTTTTACAATAGCACCTTCCTGACAAGGTTCTCATGAGCGTTTAAAGTCAAAACAGAACCAGTTCTTTGAACACTGCCTTGAACATAGAAGATGCAATATTGCACCCAACCATGTTAACACTGCCTGTCTGCATTTTCCAGAGCCTGCTACTTCTTCCTGCTGGCTTGTTTCAAGAAAAGAAACAAAGAGTCAAAGTGGAATACTGTTTATCTGTGCTCCATGAAGTTTAAATATGCTGTGTTTAAWTTTTTTTTCAACTAAAAGTGTTTGTAAATTTTCCTGTGATTTCTTCTTAACCCATGAGTTGTTCAAAGATGGCAATGATAGACTGGAGGTTTGACTTGCTCTGGCTCCACTGACTATGGCCCCATCTTGGCCTGAGAACACCTGAGTGAGAATGTGAGAACAGCAAGAGCCACCATTTCCAGCTCTGGAATCTTTACCACAGGCAGGCAGCCACTAGCAAGAAAAGTAAAGTGCAGCTTTACTTTTGTCCAAGCCCAAGATAAATGCCAAAGTAAAAAAGAAAAAAAATGGAATTTAGAAAACACATTATTTCAGTAGTCTATCACTGATCACATAAGAAAGTTCAAGATTGCCACAAAAGCTGTCACTTTACTAAGCATTATTGCCTAAGTACCCATAAAATTTTCTGTATTCTCTATTTTTCAAGTCTGTTAATCATAGCACAATCCAAACCCTAATGTGAATTGACCTAGACAGCAAGAATTTTAAAATAAAGCAAGGCTTGCTGGGCATGGTGGTGCATGCAGTAATTCCAGCTACTCTGGAAGACGAGGCAGGAGGATCACAAACTTGAGACCAGTCTGAGCAACTTAGCAAGACCCTGTCTCAAAATAAAAAAGTAAAAAGGACTGGAGATACTGTCCAGTGGTAGAGCCCTGGATTTAACCCCCAATACTGAAAAAATAATAATAACAAATCAAGTTTTATAACAAACTGTATAATGAGAGACTAGTGTAATTTGTAATTAAGCTTGAAGGCAATGATATACTTACATTCCCTGTGAACCAAGTAAGCAGAATATGTAAAATAAAAGTGTATCAGGGGGATGGGCTGGCATTTCATTTTACAACAGATTTCTTAGACACAGAAGACCAGAACATTCATGAGATTGCTCCATAATTTTATTTAAAGTCAGAGTTGTTGCTGAGGAAACCAGTCTGCTTACCATTTCTTCAACATAAGGGTAAAGCATGTCTCCAAAGTATTCTGTAGCTTCAATTGGAAGTTGTGCTGGCAAATTGTCAATAGAACACATCAGAATCCCAGAGCCTTCAACACTAKGAAAAGCAATATGCTTTATTCAGAAGTACAAAATGTTATTACTAAGCTCTAACTTCTCCTGATGTCTCCTCCACTATATTTGCTTCATTAGTTTTCATAATTCTGTACAAAATTATATAAGAATATAAACAAAACTTTTTCCTTCTTTAGCAACCCATCTCCCACTTAAATATAGTACATGTGTATTGAAGTATTCAAATTTGCATGTGGTTTTTCTATCAAAAATTTTAACATGATTAAGCATCTCTTTCCAAATACACATGCCTTTATAAAGAAGTAAAACTGAGTACTTCAGACTCATAATCAAGGTAAGAAAGAGATGTATTATTGTGCATCTTTCACCATMTAACTGCTTTAACAAACTTACCTATCATGAATAATATGCTGGTCAGCGTCATACATGCAAAAAGGATGCTCTATTGTAGTACACTCCGTCATGAAATCTATAGATCCTCCTGTGTCCGCTGAAATGTCACATATTGCCACAAGTCTGAAATCAATATCAGTTCTTAGATAAGAGGATGGAATTCTGAAGCTTCCAACAAGACTAACAATGAATAACAATGAAAGATGCTTAGAACAATGTTCAATGTGGGTGCCAAATATTTTCCAGGCACTTGGGTTCTTTTTCTTATAGTTCAGTCTTTAAGACACTGTGAGGATCTGAGATATAAAAATCATCCCAGTATACAGTTTAGTCTTTACAAGAAAAAAAAATAAAAGAATGGAAGGAGAGAAGAAGAAAGGGAAGGAGTGAAAAACAAAATAAAATTGGAAAATACCTTCCCTAGAAAAATCATTGACAGCAGACTGGTTATAGTTAAACCAGTTAACCATCTCTAAATAACTGGTAAAGTTTCAATTACACTATTTCCACTTACTTAGTGCAATGGGCCCTCTACATCATGAATTCCACATCTGTAAATCCAAACAAGACTCAAAAAAATAATTGAAAATAAAATTATACCTCTGCTCACCATGTACAAATATCTTTCTTTGTCATTATTCACCAAACAATTCAGCAAGCGATGATATGGTTCAGTCTTTAAGACACTGTACTATTACATAGCAATTTAATTGTATTAGGTAGTATAAGTGATCTAGAGATGATTTAAGTGTACAGGAGATATGCATAGGTTATATACAAGCATTCACTATTTATATAAGAGACTAGAGTGTCTGCAGATAGTGGTATTCACAGAGTTCTAGAAAAACATTCTCTCTAGATACAAATGACTATACTATGTAATTTTACATGGAATTACATGGAAATCTAGGATTGTGAACAAAAGTTTCAATCCAACATTTGAAAGCCTTCAGAGATTGGTTGTAATTTTCCTATACAATCTCCAATTACCACATGCCTACATAAAYATTATGGATAGACTGCTCCACTCAGTGTCTTAAATTATACATTAGCTCCATATTTACCAAGCTTTAATTGGAAGTTGTGCTGGCAAATTGTCAATAGAACACATTATTACTTGAAATTCTCCTTTTTCTCATTTCTCCCCAGTAAGGCTTTGCGGGGCCCAGTGTGTTAGCCACAAAACAGGTACTRTTAGGGACACTATGCTTAGAAGGGCCTGGAGGGATGCTGACCCTTTAAATGACTGTTAACACGACTTCAAAGTTGTTTTTTATTTCTTTGTTAGCTTCAGATAAGATCCTTCAGACAAAATTCCAAGGAACCAGCCAAAATTGCCAAATCATGCTGACCCATGCATTTTAGGTGACCTAAACTTTGTTCGTTTTAATATTAGCTTCTCTGCCCAGAGGCATTCCCATTCTATCTTTTGAACATGCGACGTAGGAAGAAGCATGGCTTCAAACTGAGCATGCCTCTACATATGATGATGATAACTCTTTCCTATATGAATATGCATGAATTTCAAAAAAAAAGTCTCTTGCTTTCTTTGCTCAGAGAATTATTCCCAATGTTCTCCTTACTAACTGCAGGTAAGAAACTTTTCTTCACTCTCTATCTCCTGGTTGTGCTTGTGGGCTTTGCACTCATCAAAGGGAGAACTCTTGTGTTTGGTTACTAGTGCTCCCACTTTCTTTAAACACCCCTGATATTGTTGCTCCTACCATTCCCTAGCCATTTGCCTGATATCAGCTGCATGCATGAGAGCAGCAAATGTTGTTTTCCTCTTATCTATCCCTTAGTTTAGCAGAGTGCTAACAGACAAGTTGTTTGACAAATATTGGCTGATTGACTCATTCATTCAACATTTAATAATTATTTGAATGCCTATTCTATATCAGACCATGTACCCAGTGCTTGTGGCCATGATAAATGATACCTATCTTTAAGGAAATGAAGTTCTAATAGGAAAAAAGAAAATTTTAAACACAAGAAAATAAATAATCATGAATTTAGGAGGGAAAAGGAAGGAAAAAAATGAGAGAGATGGGAATGGGGACACAAGAGAAGACTTCTGAGGAGGTTCCTCAAGATCCCTGCAGGAGTCAGAAGAACAGTTTAAGGAGAGAGGGTTAACTGTGCCATATGTTGCTAAGAGGGCAAGTCAGTCATAAACAACCAAGTTCTCTGATATGTAGGAACATTATAAGTTTGACTTCCCTAACAATGTATGCTGCTACTAAAAACTTCCATTAGTGCTGAAGTAAAATTCTTACCTGTGAGGTAATGCAGGGCAGCCTTCAACAGGAGCAACTGAGGACTTGACTGGAGCCAAGAGACTTTGAGCATCGTGGCGGGTTAATAGGCGAGGAGTGTTTTGTTCCCAGTAGATTCCATTAATTAAACAAGTTGTATAAGGTGCAATCTGTAAAGTAAGTTYGCATTCAACAAAACAGGAGATAGCCTATTTCAATACCATGTGCTACCTATCAATAAAATCCTACAGAAATAATATTACTTCTAATGAATATAGCTACCTTTTGAAGCAAAAATAAAAATACCCTTACAGATTTCAAAATATAATTACCCTCATTATGGAAGAAAATATGAACATAATAAATACACTAATAGGGTTGGGGTTGTGGCTCAGTGGTAGAGCCTGGCATGCATGAGGCACTGGGTTCAAACCCAGCACCACATAAAAAAACTAAATAAACAAAATAAAGGTATTGTGTTCATCTACAACTAAAAATATTTTTAAATAAATAAAAATAAATATACTATTGTTTTTGTCTATTGCATAGCAAAGAAAAGAAGAGAGAATCAAGTAACCTAGGATACCAGTAAGGTGTGACCTAAATCATACTACTTCAGCTTTACTGAGCTGTTTTTCTTAGATGGGGATAATGTACACACTATTCGTCAAAAGAATGTTATATGATCAAATCAGATAACTTCTGTAAGCTCCATGGAGAAATGTACTGCATAAACATGGTAACCAGGTCACTACCAGTCTCAGGAGACATCCAATCACCATACCTCCATGACAGGGCATATGAGTGGGGGGAAATTTACTACATTCAAATTTTTTCAGCTCAAAATTAGTTTCATACATTTTTGCATGAAACTTAAGCCTCTCATTCTGAAGGTAAACAAATATAACATCAGTCCATGCTGTACTATTTAAATTTCGTACCAGAATCAAACATTTTAAATTATGTAGAGCATTCCTTTTCACAATATACATATACATTTTTAGTGTGCTTAATTTTTCATTTGTTAGTTTATTTTGAAGAGGATTTTTGCATGACTAATGACTATAGAACACACAAATAAATTTTGTTTTTTAAGCTGGGTATGGTAGTGCATGCCTTTAATTCCAGCAACTCAGGAGGCTGAGGCAGGAAGATTGCAAGTTCAAGGCCAATCTCAGCAATTTAGTGAGGCTCTGTCTCAAAATAAAAAAGGGTTTGGGATGTGACTCAGTGGTTAAGCACTTCTGGGTTCAATCCCCATACCAAAAATGAATAGATAAATAAATAAATAGTGTTTTTTAGAAGATGAGACCAGTGTGTCCCCATAAGAAGTACTTGTTGCATAAATAGCTCTCTTGTACAAGATTATGTAGCCACACTATCTCCCCGTGACCCCTTGTAAGCATCACATGCATTTTAAGATGACTGGCTAGTATGGTTTGGATGTAGAATGTCCCTGAAGTTAAAAGCTTATTCTCAGCCCATGGCACTAGTTGGAGGGGAACAGAACTTTTTAGAGGTAGAGCCTGGTCTTCAGGTCCCTGGGACTGTGCCCTCAAAGGGTATATGAAGACTTTGGTGTCTTCTGCCTTCTCTCTCTCTCTCTCTTTCTTTTCCAATTCGAGATGTTAGTGCTCACTCTGACACGTGTTTCTACCATTGTCTCCTGTCATTTGTCCTCACCTGAAGCCAAAGCAATTAGGGTTGTCCTATCTTGGGCTTAAACCATTAAAATTGTGAGCCAAATAAATCTTTCCTCTTTTAAAGTAAGTCAACTCAAGTATTTTTTGTAGTAATATAAAGCTAACTAATACCAAGAAGAAGAAGGAGGAGGAGGAGGAGGAGGAGGAGGAGGAGGAGGAGGAGGAGGAGAGAGAAAGAAAAGAAAAGAAAGAAAAAAGGATACTGTGAGTAGCAAGTGTTATTATAACTATACCTAGATACGTTTAGGAAGCTCTGGGACTGATTGACTGACAGTGGTTGAAAGAGTTTGGAGGAGCAGGCTAGAAAAAGTCTAGAATACTCCAATTGGAGCATTATGGGGCCATGGTGGCTTCCACTGAGATTTCAAAGGAAAGCCTGGGAAACCAGACAAAAGTTTCATGTAGGGCTGAAGTCTCTGTGGGGACTTTTGATAAGATGATGCTTACTGGAATTGTGCGAATGGAGCCAAAGAGAGGACCCCAGAATAATAGAGCAACCCAAAATGTGCAACAGCTGCTAGGGAAAGCTATGAGCAGCATGCCACATAAGCCATGGAGAGCTGCACACATCAGTGTGCAGTCCATGAATGCAGCCATGTGGGCCAACAAAGCCGGCTGGGTAGAGCTGCCCAAGGCCTTAGGGGCCCAACTCAGGCCCCAGTGTGCCTGCCATGGTGGACTTTGGAGCTTTAGGATTTAATGTCTGCCTGCTGGATTTCACTTACTTTGGGTCAATTATCTCTTTTCACTTGCCTGTTGCCTGCTTTTGGAATAGAAGTTATACTCTGTGCCTATCCTGCCATTTTATCTTGGAAATATGTAGCTGGAGGAGTTTGCCTTTTCTCCCAGATGAGACTCAGGATCTTTGAATTAATGCTGGCTGAGTTAAGCCTCTGCAACCACTGGGGATGGAATGCTTTATGTTGAATGTGAGGACATGAGTTTKAGCAGACCAGAGATAAAATGCTATGGTTTAAACATGGTTTGTTCCTCTGAACTCATGCAAAAGTGTGACCCCTCCCCCAATGTTTTATATTAATGCTTTTTAGAGAGTGGAAACTGAATCCATCCATGGTGTTTATAGGTGGAGCTTTTAGCAATTGAGTAGATTGGATTAGGCCAACAGGGTGGAGCCCCCCAAATTAAATCCTGGTGGTATTATAGGAGAGGGAAAGCGGCTGCATGGAGAGTGGGACACATGCCCTCCCACCACAACATGATATAGCTAAGGGGGGACCACCACCAGAGTGTAAGCCATGCTGTTTGGTCTGCCAGACTACAAATCTGTGCTAAATAAACCACTTTTCTTTATAAAATTACTCTGTCCTTGGTGTTTTTTAAATAGCAATGGAAAGCTAATACACCAGCTGAGTTTATGATTGCAATTTGTGGCCAGAGAAAGGATAAACCCATGTTAGATCAAACCTCATAGACATTGTACTTTGCCAAAAGCACTAACTAATCCAGGATTATACAGAATCAACAATCCATAGAAAATGGTTTAGAGCTTTTGGGCACAGGCAGACCCAACGTAGAAACAGATATCAAACCAAAGAACATACCCACAGAAACCCCAAAACCACTAAGGAAGGGCCACTCCAAATACCAGTAAAAGCCAGCAACTCCTAAGACCAACTCATGATTCACAAAGGACTCCAAGCAAGAGATATGAAGAAGTGAAAACCCATGTACACACTTATAATTTCTCTCCTTGAAGAGAGACTAACTACAGTGCTCTCTCCATAAGCAGTGACTCCCAAGCTGAATGTGATACTCACATCAGTATTAAAACGACTTATGTACCGCTCAGGATGTTTGTCATACTCTACAGGGTCATACACACCATCTGTTTTCCTGACAAGATGATGATGTCGACTTAACACCGTCCCATACACTTTCCTGAGGTCTTGCAGAGGAAAAAGAAATTAACAAACTGGGTGACAAATGATAACGATGCATGGTGACAAAACACTATAACACAGATACTGTAAAATGGTACAGACAGTCTTCCCCCTCCCCTTACCTCCAGTTTGGGAAACTTCTTTTAATTCATGGGGCTCCACATATTCACAGGGCAGTTCATTAAAGACTTCTTGGGCTCCCTGTAAAAAAAATGTTTCAAGTAAACATCTAAAAATCAATTTTWAAAAAGAGCCAAAGCAGTTTCCGGTAAAGATTCCAATTGTTTTCCCCACAATTTTATAATTGAACTTGCCTGGCCCTGCAACCAGAGCTGCAGCATAGAAGTGCAGATGAGCTTCTTGCACACAGCCTGAAAACCAGCTTTATTCCAGTTTTTAAAAGCATGCATTAGAAGGGGCTTTAGACTTTTTATTTTTTTACTAAAGTTACTCAGAAAAGCAACAATAGTGTTTAGAAATATAGATACAATACAATMTATCTATTTCTTTTTTTTATTCATTGCAGAAGAAAAAATCAAATGGCTACCTCACAATATAATAGTAGCAGAGATGTCCTCTTTGTAAGATATTTTCATTAAAGGTCTATTTTTCAATTATAAGTTTCTGAGGGAGATTACAAATGTATTCTAAAACTACCTCAAGAGGAAGTATTAAATACTTTCTTGAATTACTCTAATATCTTACTGGCAAAACTCCAAGTAGTCTTGAAAAATGTATATACTGGAGTTACTTCCAAACTTTTGGACATGTCAGCAATGAAGGAAAAATAAATCACCCTAAGGACAATGTTACATACTTCACAATTAGTATCTCAAGAAAGACAGAAACAGAGAAAGGAAGAAAGGGAGGGGGAAATGAAGGAGGAGAAAGAAAGGAGAGAAAGAGAAAGAAAGAGTGTTTCAAACCTCTGATAGCGCAGAATTCACTAAAAGCAAAGAAAATGTTTGGACCATTATTGTTCTTTGCTATAAGAAAAATTTGTAGGTAATTAAAATACTGAAGATAGAATGTCCATTCTCTATTGGAAATAGGCACAGAATGGCCCAACATCATGTCTCCAATTGCTTTACAGAAGGAAGACAGGTGAAATTTACCTTGGATACATTACCAGTCCCTGTGAATACAAATGTTAAGGGCCCTATAGACTTTGGCATTAAACCCAGAGATATTTCATAGCCAGCATCGCGGACAGCTTGCACAGCCTGGCTGCTATTCCTGTAGTTATGAGCCATGCCAAGATGCTGAAAGCAAGCACACATGATTCAAGTTAGTCTAGTAGCTGACATATTTTTTCTATTCTTAAAGTGTTATGTATGCTTTCAAAAAAAATAAACAAAAGAAATATCTCTCACCATAAAAGGTGTGTGATGTCCCAAAGCAAGGAGCCTTAAACCCATTCCATGTAAAATGTTGATCATCCCTATTGCAGAGTCAGACCAACAGAAAGACAATTAATTGAGTGACGCTGAATATCAATGTACAAAATAAATTCTACTCATAGGCATTAATCAAGAGAAAGGACACATTTTTCTCTGTGCCCATTTGTCCATGTGCTCAGTGCCTGGGGAAGCATAACATAGTAGCTCAGATTCAGAAGGGGCCTCAGTAGATCTTATCCATTTCTTCTGCTTTCTGCCATCCAATGTCCTAACCCAGCTGCATCATTTATCCCTTCTACTGTTGATCCTGATAAAGTGGAGTATCCTCTTCTCACCTAGAGTTAATCTCTCCTTGACGAAAGATCCCATCCCTTCCCTTCTTCCCAGGGAATTTACTCTAGAACCACTCCCTTATCTTGAACCACTACCTATTCCTCTCTACCAGTTCATTCATTTTTAAAAATTTATTCTTTTTATTTTTATATAACACCAAGATATGCCCTGAAATAATCACAAAAGCATGAAACCCAACCCACTCCAATTTAGTCCTCAGTGTTCTCCCCCACCTCCACTTATCCTTAAGCACCCTCCCTCCACTCCATCCATCCTTCTTCAAACCATTTACAGTTTGCTTTTTTGTTGTTGTTATCAAATTCATGTCCTGTGGACACACTCAATGCCAGGACCCACCACGCTCTGTCCTTGTGTACTCATAAGATAGTTTGATCATATTCAATCTACTCTTCTTCCCTTTTCCTGTCCCTTCTTCCTCCTCCTCAATCCCCTTTGTCTACTCCACTAATCTTTCCTCTATTTTGATGAATTCCCTCTCTACTGGTTCATTCTTATCAACATGTAAACATGCTCCCATCTCTCCCATACCAAAATCAAAGTCGCCATTGACCCTAGGGCTCCCACCAGCTGTTTAAATCACTAAATCACTAAATTTGGTAGGCACTTTTCAGATCTCTCAACTTCCTTGCCAGAAGTATTTGGCATTGTAGACCTCCTCTTCAGTCAAAAACTAACTCTCTCTCTCTCTCTCTCTCTCTCTCTCTCTCTCTCTCTCTCTCTCTCTCTTCAGCATTCCTACTTGAAATGTTTCAGCCTGCTATTTTGTGGGCTCTTCTTTCTATGCCCATCTTGTCACCCTCAGGATTACATCCTGGGCTCCTCAATAACTATGTTTTCTTGATAAATATTCTCATCCAGTCCTAAACTTCAAGTAYTATCTACTTATCTTATCCCAGTGGATGACCCCAAGTCTGTACCTCCAATGAGAATTTTTCTTTTTAATTTCTCACCTAGCCAGTCATATTTTGTATGTCTCCATTTGGAAATCCTTCAGACATCTAAAATTCAGCAGGCTTGTAGCAAAGATCTTAGCATCCATTCCCCCTTCTTTTTAGGGCTAGAACTTTCCCTGCACCACTCCCCAACACACACATATGCACTCACATTCCTACCAAGTTTTATTCCACCTTTTTTTCTGAAGTCAGCTTTTAAAGAAGTAATCTCTACACAATAAAATGCACCAAGTGTATAGTTTGATAATTATTAACAAATATGCTCAACTGTGTTATCACCATAATCAAGGCCCTATTGCTCTTTCTGACTGTATGCATTAGGTTTTTCAACTGCTTCATATCAATGAAAAAATAAGCACATACTCTTGTTGGGTGTTTGCTTTCCCTTGGCATAATAGTTTGAGATCTGTAACAGTATTTTGTTTCTCATTATTGCTGAAGTTTTATGTATTATATAATTATTAATGTATTAATCCATTGTCTCTTGACAGATATTTGTGTTATTTCTAGCCTATTCTGGATGGTATCCATATGTAAAAATTATTTGTATAAAATGCTGCATTTCTCTTCTTAAACACCTACATGTAGAATTTACTTTGTACACTGATATTCAAGTGTTTTTTTTTGTTTGTTTGTTTTTTTTTTTTTTTAGTTTTAGTCATGTTTTGTTTTCTTTTGGTGGTTTTAGTAATCTTGATGTTGTTGTTACAATTTGGGGAATCAAAGCCAAGACCAAGTCCTTACACATGCAGATAGCTCCCACTAATCTGTATCTTTCAAGGATAGATAGAGATTATCATCTGTAATCTGTATCTCAAATTTGAGATGAGTAATCAACGGAGGTTTCCCCATAACACCTACAACTCCTTCTATATTATCAAATTTAATTTTGTGTTACTTTAATAGAACTTATTTGTGTGTTGGGTAAGGGAAGAAAAGAAGTGGGAGTTAAAATTGAATACAAATGAATTGGTTTTTAAGTGAAAAGAATGTTATAATTTCAAAATTCGCTTTGTTTTTTTTTCTTTTTTCTTTTTTTCTTTTACCATTTCAAAAGCGTATGAATTAGGGTATACTAATAGATTAAAAATGAATTTTCTGAAATCATTACTTTTTTAAAGTATATAATCTTCAGAAGTTTTCCAGCATATTTGAGTGAGAATCACTTGAATGAATGACAGAGAATATAATTTATAGAAGCATATCAGGATTCCATTTTACACAATTAAATAATGTACTATTAGACATATTTTTTTGAGAAATGCAGTTTTAAAAGAGTTTGACCTCAAGGAGCAAAGACAGACCTGTCCAGATGAAACAGCAGTGACATAAACCACAATGAGAAGTCTTCCATTTTATATAACAAGGTCAAACAAATATCCAGGTCATGACTTTCCCATTAGATCTTCGAGTAGTCTACTCTGATGGAGTCATAATATCATGGTGTTTCTCAGCTAAACCTAGTTCAAAGTACTAGCAGAGATAAAAGTCAAGCAGAAGTTTCTCCCAGACTCCAGCTCTCATCCTTTCAAGGAAGCTCCTCTGTTGGTTCGTGCCCCTGGACCTTTTTTTCCCCCTTATCCTTTTCCCCTATTTTCTACTTCCCAATGTCCCATCACCAAACTGAGCTCTCCAAACAGGTCTGAAATGTCCCAGTCTGTTCACAGGTGTTATCCTCCCCCTACTTTCTTTTCCAACATTTATACTAAAATATTTTAATAATTTATCTTCTTCCCAATTCCTCCAATATTCACCAGCCTTCAGCATACTCCCATTTTAATTTTATCAGTGAAAATAAACACTCATATTCCCTCTTCACAGAAAAGAGAAAACACAGTTACTCCTCAGGCAATTTAGAAAGTGACATAAAAGCCTGGCATACCTACCTGCCACACCGGCCCACTGTCCAAATGCCACTATTCGTACCCCTCTATGATCCACCATTTTTTCATAATCAATAAGTCGGATTTCCTGAAGAAAGGGTAAAAAATTTCTCAACCAGACCTATTAAGTTCAATTGCAATGAGTAAAGTACATATATGAACAAGTATTCTCCATGTTTTCTTCTTTCAATATATGTCTTGACTTGCTAACCTAAATTTCCATGAAGTGCACCATGAAATATTTAGAAAAGGTTAGACTAAAAAGATAACTGCAGGTTTACAATTGGAGATGAAAGAATAGTCCTAGAGATTGCTAAATGGCCTTGTTGCTGGACAATGAGATGACCAAAATAGGATTTTCTGTTTTTGACAAACATACAGCCCAACCCAACCAGCACCATCTATAAATACGTTTACAGCCTCTATTCATCCTCCCATTCTTCCTTTTGGTCCTAAAGAAAATGAATCCCTCCTGAGACTCATTACTGTGAGCCAATCTCAAGTTTTTTCTAAGTCTTCAAAGACCATACTTCTTAAATTATTATTACCTCTTTCCAGCATCATTCCTTTTTATTAGAATGACTGCTCCTCAGTTATTCTAAATACTCCCAGGTCTCTTCTACCTGAAAAGTAATAAGAATGGCCCCTCCCAAGTTCATACACAACTGTGTCTCTCTTCCTTCCTCCCTTTCCTCCTCTCCTCATTCTTTCTTTTTCTACCCTTTTACAGGTAAGCTTTCTTTAAGAAGTTGAGCATTCTCTCAAAATAAAGTTATTTTCTTGGGGGTGTGGGGCTGAAGGCATGCTGGGGATGGAGTTCAGTGATAGAGCATTTGCCTAGCATGTGCAAAGCCCTAGGTTCAATTTCTGCACCACTATAATGAATTAATTATTAATTAAATAGTGCATACTGCCTGTGTATCTTTTCTCACCTTTTCTAAAAAGCTATTCCTCCACTTTCCTTGGGATCTTCTATCTCTGCGGAAAAGAYTTATTAATTTATGCTTAAAAGCTATTGATCCATTCTAATCATAGAATGTTTTGAACACTTATTTTATTTTCTCAAACATCAAATGATTTAATAGCTGGGGTTAAGCTCAGTGGCCAAACACAGAGACAAAGCACACTTATCTAGCATGCATAGGCCCTGAGTTCCACTCATATCACTGAAAAAAAACCATATAATTTTAATTATGTCTATATATTTAAGAACATTTTACATGCATCCAACTCTAACTGGTTACAAAGGACTGCCAAGAAGTAGCCCCGCTGGTTCTGTTTTTATTAATTTTTTTTGTAATGAACAAAAGTCTTATAACAGAAAGTCTTTAAAGTATTTTCTAAAGGTTGATTTGTTTGAAATGGAATATTCATTTTCTAATATGATTTCCATTAATTACTTTTGAATCTGTTCTTCAGAAACATTGCAAATTAACTACAACCCAGGTCTAGTGTATTTGAAATTAATAGGAAATAATTCAATTCTCTTGTATAAAATACATTGTCCCTATTGCTTTTCCTAGTTGTGAGCTCTCCCATCCTCTCCCATCCTCAGAAGTTAGTCTATTTCTAATTCTCTAACATCCTTCCTTTAGCACAGGGACTTTGGATGACTCATTTATTTCCATTCACTCATTATACTTTCCCAACCCCATGATTATAGATACTTTCTGACAACTTCCCAATCTATGTTGGGAGGAGCTGCCCACCTGAGCTCTGGACTGGTGTCCCCAGTCCACTTAACTTGAGGTCCCAAACTCAACTGTTGACTTCTCCATCCATGCCTGCTCTTCTTACAGTAGCACCATCTCCCTCTGTAGGGCCCCTACAAGTTGCACATGCCAAAACCTTAGTCATTCCTGACTCCTCTCCTTTCTCATAGTCCACCTTCATTTCACCAGTGAATTTTGTAGGACTCAGCTTTAGAACGCAGGATGTGACAGGACTCTCCATATGTCACAACTCCACTTCCACCACCCAGGTAAAAGGCACCATCATTTGCAGTCTAGTCTAGACTATCACTGACTAACAAGCTTCTAATCACTTTGGCTCTCCTCCTCCCATCTGCAACTATTATCACAGAGTAGACAAAAAAWGCATTTTATTACATGACCCATTCTGTCCACTCAAATAGACCCTGGAGCCTTTGCATTACTATTACTACTTGGAAGACTCTTTCCAGAAGGGTATGGCTTAGTCCTTTGCTGCCTTCAAATGTCACCTTCATAATGAGGCCCCCCCCATGACCATCCTGTATGATCCAGTAGTGTCACCTCCGCCAGGGCCCACATTCCTATTCTCCTTCAGCATTGTTTCTCTCAACACATGTTGACAAGTGACATATAAGATGTCATTTGTCCTCTGTCTCCTTTCATTAGAATGTATTTAAAGCAGCATGACAGATTCACTAGATGCTAAAGAAAACCAAAGCCCCACTTTGAAGTTAAATTAAAATATTATTTTCCTGTGTTAACACTTATGCATATCGGTCACTAATTACCTGTTTTAGAATCTCATCCAACAAGTTCATATTGGCCTCTTGAGCTTTTATTGTGTGGGAGAAGAATGCATAAGTTTTCTTGGGCATTAGTTTATCCTCTGGAGGTCTTTTAACTCCCAAAATTAGACAAGCTTCGGAAATGTCCTCCTGAAGAATGCCACCAGCTTTGACGTATTCCTGGAAATGCGATTTGGTTAAAGATTATTCCTCTGACTTGTGGTAGTCATATTTTCTCTAATAAAAAGTAGAGCAAATAAAAGCACAACTTTTTGAAGCAGTAAAAACTTGTATGGATTAGAACTAATAGGACAGCAACTTTTAATACCTGAACTCTCCAGCTAAAGATAGATCTATTATGTTTAACTGTTATAACAAAAAACAATTTAAAAATTCAGCACATACTAATATTTAAGAACAGTTTAGCCAGGTGTGTGACAGTGACTTGGAAGCTGAAGTGGGAGGATGACAAGTTCAAAATCAGCCTCAGCATCTTAGCAAGACGGGTCTCAAAATAAAAACAAAAAAAGGGCTGGGGATGTGTCTCAGTGGTTAAGCACCCCTGGGTGCTTTTCTAAAAATTAAATTTGTTTATTTATTTATTGCAGTACTGGATATCAATCTCAGGCAGGGCCTCAGGCATGCTGGGCAAGTGCTTTTCCACTGAGTCACATTCCCTGCCCATGATCATGCATTCCTAGGAGATAATCTGATATTTTATACCTTTAATGTGTTACAATGTGTAAAACATACATTGCTTATATGTATGACACAAGTGGTTAGCCTGAATGTAATCATAAGAAACAACCAAACTAGTTCTACCCAGAAGCAGAACATTCTACAAATCAACTAGCTTGGATTCCTCCAGAAAACAGAAATGAAGGTGCTGTTATAGATCAAAAGCACTAAAGAGACATAGCCATGACATGCAATGACCCTCAATTAATCCTTGAATTAAACTAAAATATATTTGAAATAGGGAATCTGAACATCAACCATATGAGATGTTCTCAAGGAATTATTAATTTCTTAGGTATGAAAATTATATACTGGTTATGTAGCAAAATTATTTACTCCTTAGAGGTGCATGCTAAAGCATCATTCAGTACTTGCAAATGATTTAGGAAAGGAAAATATATATATATTTTGCATATTCCTAAAGTGAGAATAAGAATCTAACCCATATCATAATATTATTGTGAAATGTTTATGTCCAGCAGAATTCTGAACATAAAGGGCTTCTCAAAGTGCCTGACAGGACACACTCTTGGGCTGGGGACACACTCTTGTGATAAAACTCTCCTCAAAGAAGCATTCCCTGGCTTCAAGGATGGTGTCTTAATCAACCTTGGGCTCTCTACTGCAAACTAGGGTTGTACATGAAGGACAGAAAGAATGAAAACCATCAACATCTAAAAGCAGACCCTTTAACCTTTAGCTGAAGAAAGTATGGAGTAGAGTAAAAATAACACTTTTAAGCAAAAAGAAAAGGAATTAAAGTGACACTAGCACATTTATTTTTCCTCGGATGCTTCTTATTTTTCATACACAGGTTCATTTCATTTGCACACATTTTAAAAATTGAAAACAGTCACCTTATCATGAATGGCCCGCCGATTGGAAGGCTGTATCAAGACCTTGTAGCCCAGACTGGTGATCCCTTTGATGTGCTTGGGGGCCAGAGGCGCTCTTCTCTCCCAGGCGTTGACATCCTCCCGTCTGAGAGCCATGACAGCTTTGTGGTGAAGGGCTCTGGAGAGGCTGACCCTTAGTGGGGTCAGGTTGCTCCTGTGTATTTGAAGCATCTTGAAACCTGATGACTGTGAAGGCAATGTGAGAAAACAGAACAACAAAGGACAGGAGGGCTTATGGGTCAGTTCTGGTCTCCTTAGAAATCTGCTGAAAAACACAGCCAACCCAAATGAGGATAAAATGTGACAAGAAGAGATAGGGACAAGAAGATACACAAGAAGGGAGGGGCAACCTCCATGTGAAGTGTACCTTTACCCAAACAGACCCAAATTCCCAAACATGAAGTTACTTAATTCCAAAGTAAGTACAGAGCTACTTAGGTGACACTGATCAGTAACCAAGTCAACATACCTTTCTAAATATGTTTTACCAAACATGTACTCAACACAAAAGTTGAGTACTACCATGTAAAGCCAGGAAGATGACAGAAAGCATCTCTTAATAGAGTGGTCCAAATTTTGATGGCATAAAGCTTCAAATTCTGATAATGATATAAGATTCTTGACAACTTAACGCCAATGTGCCTTCAGCTTCATCTCAGGCCATTTCCTGGACATGCACTACTTGGTATGTTCTACTAACTTGTGTCGGTCAGTGGACTATTTTTACTGGTCAGAAATGAGATGCAAGAAGAACTAGAAAGTAAGCATTTTATAAGCTGCARTATCACATGATCATTTTCCTAGTTATTCCTTGTTACTGAATTTTACAAAAGCATCATCCTGAACAGGTTGTAAATTCAAGGAAAGCAACCAGCTAACCAAACCAGTTCCTCCATTACCAGGTTAGACTGTCACCCTGCTCCCATCCACCCCTACCTTGGGCTTCCTGCTTCAACCTCACTGTTCCCTCTTGTTGCCCTCAACATAATCCCCTTTCCTGGCTTTATCTCTCCATACCATGTTGTCCAGCCTTTGAATTTAAGCCCAGCCCACCTCACCTTTCCAACTGTCTCCCAGATAGCATAATTCCACTGACTGATCAATCAAAAATATCCTATATTTGTGGGCTGGGGATGTGGCTCAAGCGGTAACGTGCTCACCTGGCATGCTCGAGGCGATGGGTTCAGTCCTCAGCACCACATAAAAATAAAATAAAGATGTTGTGTCCACCGAAAACTGAAAAATATTTTTAAAATTCTCTCTCTCTCTCTCTCTCTCTCTCTCTCTCTCTCTCTCTCTCTCTCTCTCTCTCTCTCTCTCAAAAAAAAAAATCCTATAGATGTGGGCAGAAAGGTTTTCCCACTGCTGGTGGGACTGTAAATTGGTTCAACCATTCTGCAAAGCAGTACGATTTTCCTCAGAAAACTTGAAATGGAACCACCATTTGACCCAGTTATCCCATTCCTTGGCATATACCCAAAGGACTTAAAATCAGTGTACTATAGTGACACAGCCACATCAATGTTTATAGYAGCTCAATTCACAATAGCTAAGCTATGGAATCAACCTTCAACAGATGAATGGATAAAGAAAATGTGGTACATATACACAATGGAATATTACTGAGCTGTAAAGACATATGAAATTATGGCAWTTGCTGGTAATTGGTTGGAACTGGAAACTATCATGCCAAGTGAAATAAGCCAATAAAAAAATCAAAGGCCTAATGAAGTTCTCTTTGATAAGCTAACTCATAATAAGCCGGGGAGGCGATAGAAGTTCACTAGGAGAGACAAAGGGAATGAAGGGAATAGAGGGAGACTGGGAATAGGAAAGACAGCAGAAATTAATAGGACATAACTTTTCTGTGTTCATATATGAATACACACCCAGTGTAACTCCATATCATGTACAACCACAAGGATGACAAGTTATACTCCATGTATGCATGATGTGTCAAAATACATTCTACTGTCATGTATAACTAAAAAGAACAAATWAAAAAAATTCAAAACATCCTATACATAGTAAATCTGCATCCTATACAGAGTAAATTTTGTATAAGATTTTACACATACATATTTAGATCTAGTAGTGTTTATTCTCTCTGTCCTCAAAGTGTTTCATATATTCTATAGTCAAACGTCATTGCAGATGGTGATTTGCTGGATCATTTAAAGTTTAAAAYTGTTTTCTATGTAAGGTGAGCAGGAAAATGTAAATGGCATATTCTCTAGAAATTCTATACCCATAATTTTACATCTTCTAGAAATGTCCTACCCATTATCGTCATCACATAGCAAAACTTTTATGAAATATTTTTCCAATACATCAGATTTCAATCTCTAAAAGCACCCATATAGATGAGGAAATTCTGACCAAACATTTAAGCATAGAAGTGCATTCCCTGGGGACAAACAACTGCCTGCTCCCTATAATGGTCAATTTATAGAATATTTCACAACAGAATCAGAGAATAGAGCAAAACAGTAMGGAATTCAGCTGAAAAGGCTTTAGAAAGAAAAGGTCAAAATCAGAGAAAGCTGCTGACAGAAGGAAAAATTGTTAATGATTAGTTCAGGCTTCAACTGGACTAAAATGGAGATACCAAAATAGATGATTAACATTTTAACCAAAAACTGTTGCAGACTACATCTAATTTTTGGTTAATTCACATGGTTTTGTTCTTAGGAGAGATGATTATACTCAAACCCAAGCCCATAATATATAGTGTCCCCCAAGTTAAAGGAGAACCTGCAATGTCTCATGGAATCTGAATGCCTTTGTTCCCAAATAAAACCAGTTCCAAAGACTGTGAATCTTTTAAACACACACACACACACACACACACACACACACACACACACACACCCCTTCCCAGCAGGGGCTGTATTTCCTGAACCGACCCTGTATCTTCTATTCTGAGTAGCAATTCTTGGCCCTAAATTGACCCCTCCCCCAACACACACACACACACACACACACACACACACACACACACAGCCCAATCTTGATTTATAACCAGAGCCACACCTCATTCCCTTGACAGCCCCTCCTCCTCCCTTCTCTGGGGTCAGGTTGGAGGCAGCAGGAAGCAGACCACACAGAGAGACAGACACACACATACAGTGTATGTGTATTTGCAAAGTCACACTTTCTAAGGGAACTAAAAAAAGAAATGGCAGGGACTGAGCTTCTGGGATTCATTTAGGAAAGTACTTTCACTTTCATTTTTTGTAAGGAATTGTAAACTGACCATTTCTGTGACTTTCACTTCTAAAACAAATATAGCAATAGTTTGCATTAATTATGCTAGGCACTTTAAATACTGTCACATTTCCCTCTTGCAAATATCTTACTAGGTAGATACTATTATTATCCCCATTTTACAGATGAAGAAACTGAAAAGGAGCCCTTCTGGATCAGTTGCTTTTCAACAGAAGCAGGATTTCTAGGTTAATGCTTAACACCTGGGACACTCTCTTTGCTGAAGCTTACAGAAGCTTACCATGTAGATCTAACACATGCTGTTACTCTAGCCAGCTCTTGCAACAAAAAGGGGAAAAAAAAATCAGATCCATATGGTATGGACTTCACAGTCATCTTAAATTATCAGTTTTCCTCCCAAGCACGCAGTGCTTCTCTTGATATCTTTTTTCTCTGTTGCATTGAAATTCTTTCCTGAGTCTCTGCCAAGGTAAATTCCAGATTTCTGGGTGCTTAGAAAAAAGGTTTGATTGTAGCAGGTATGACTGTTCATGACCTCTTGAACCTTGAAACTTGGTCTCAGCAATGAACTTTCCAGTTACCCACGGTCATCAAGAAGTGGGTAACAGGTAACAGTGAGAATTTTGCAGTTGCACATCAGGTGCCTAGCATTTTGTGGAAATATCCTTGTGGGCTATTCTGGCTTTTCCTGTCCTGTATTTTGTGGTCTTTTACAAGAATATCAGGAAATAAGTTCCACAGAGCTCTCAAGGAAGCAAGTCCACTGGCTCTAGTGAGGTTAATTGATAGTGCTAAGTCCTGATTTCAATGTACAGTATGTTAAGGAGGATGTAGAAAAGCAAGAGGGAGATAGTGTGACATATACAGGGATAGGGGGGAATCCCTTTTCCTGCAAACTCTGTCTTCCCTTACACATAAAGGTCAAATTTTCAAATATAAAAATAAATCTAAAATATTTCTTCTCTATGTTTTTATAAAATGGGAACAGCACTGTTTCTTATCTAGTACATTTCTTATCAAGAACTGATCAAGAGTTTGAGATCTCTCTAAAGTCAAAGGAATATTACAGAAAACTACACAGAGACACATACTGAGTCAGGAAGACAATCAGAGGGCAGGTTCTCCCAGCAGGAACAGGACAACTTTCTATATTATACCGTCGTAGTGGTCTTTACAATTCTCAAGGAGGAAAGGCTTAGGGGTTCCATTTAATACAGGGCTTAACCTAACTTTGCACACATGGGTATGGGAAGACACTTAAATGTTCTTAGTTCTTAGTATTTTCTTTTCAAGAAAAACAAGGAGGAAAATAATCATTACTGATATAGATACATGATAGATGATAGATAGGAGAGACAGAGGTTAGTACTTCATATATAGCCCATCATTTGCTTTCAGTGACCATTCCCTATTTCCTGGCCCTTGAGTGCATCATTATCCCAAGTCATATGGAGAAATCAAAGCACAGTATGTAAAGTGCATTTATAAAAGTGCATATCTCAAGAAAAACCACTCAGAACAGAGGTGGCTAACAAGGTCCTTTCAGATAGTGAGCAGGTTGGGGCTTTTTGTTTGTTTTGTTTTGTTTTGCAGTACTGGAGATGGAACCCAGGGGAATTTTATCACCGAGCTATATCCTGAGCTGTTTTATTTATTTATTTATTTATTTATTTGTTTGTTTGTTTGTTTGTTTTTGAGATAGCAATTTGCTAAGTTTCTGAGGTTGGCCTCAAATTTGTGATACTTCTGCCTCAGCCTCCTGAATCTCTCGGGTTACCGGCCCTGGCCAGCCTATTGTTTTTAACAATCCATATAATAATATGAAGTAGGTAGTCATTGATTTTTAGCATGCATATTATCTAATATTTAAATAAAATATAATAAAACCCAGAACATTTTCTTGACMGTGTTAACAAAATGTAATATTTTACCCATTGATCACAGAAGGAATGCTTTTAGCTTTCCATAACTCACAACATATTCTGGAGGTCCTTATAGGGTATGTAGTAATGATGATAAGTACTTGGTAAAGACATAAAGCAGCAGCAATCCAGGCCCTGCCCATTTTCATAGGGTCTTACAGGAACAGGACGGGGTCATTTTATTTATTTAAATAATGCAAATCAAAACCTGATGATGAATTATCAGCTAATAAATATAACTAAACCTTAAATATTTGAGTGCAAACATACCCAAAAGAAGACAATCTATATTTTCTCAAGCCCATCAGCTGCTCAGTGTCAGACCAAGACAAAAGACCCATGACTCTCTTGAACTTTCACCCACAAAGTTAGCTTCACTGAGATGGAATACAAAGTTAGCTCTGAATTAGAATCAATCCAAACTACTTACTTACTGCTTGCTTGGCCAACTCTTTGCTAAACTGAAAGTGGGTAGGAATTGATATTTATTCACTTCTGTATTCCCAGTAACTAGCACATAGGAAAACATCAAACATTTTTAAAAGGATGAATAAATATATTGCACAATAGATAATGCACTATATATTTCCAAAAACTAGAAAAAAAAAAGGAGTTTGAATGCTTTCATCATAAAGAAATGATAAATGTTTAAGAAGGTAAATATGATTAAACTGACTTAAACATTGTATAATGTATTCATATAATGAAATAACACATAATATCCCATTAATATATGTTCTATGACCTTATGTATTTAAAAATAGAAGATCTTATGTAATTAAAAAATAAATAATGAAATTTAAATAAATATCATGAAGACCTAGGGCAAGAGAGAAAATAAAATAAACACATGAAATTGGGATCCAAAACCTCCTTCTCCTACCAAAAACAACAACTGCTTCGCCCCTCCCCTGACTCAGGCAATGGCAAGGCCCTACTGAGGTGGATGGCGCAAGGCGTCCATCCTCTGGAGGAGCGCAGTATGTTTCTGGGAATGGGCTGATTTGTTTTTGTATTTCTTTAATAAGTATAGTTGTGATTTCTCATATGACCATTAAGTATGAAGGAAAGTCCAATTCTAGGAGTTCAGACATGTAATTAGCCATCTGTCCCTCCTCTTGACTTCAGTCTCCTCATCTAGACTAGAACACGATAGTTGAGTCCCTTTCCTCTTTAACATTTTTATTCTATTAAGCTTAGTATTAACTCAGCACTGTGGATTGCAAACATTAGAATTATGAATACATTAGAATTTTAGAACATATATAAGTTTTCTGTCTATGAACATACACTAAATAGGAAAACAAAACACTAAAAACATTATGGAAGAAAAATAGACATTTGCCTAAGCTACCTGCACTGTCTACAGCAGCCAGGAGCCAGAGCTTATAACAGGAACTGGATATCTCAAAGGAATACCAATGACCTGGTTCTGCAGTACCTAAACTTGTTCTGGGAACTCATTCCAAAACAACCTGTCTGAGCCTCATCTGCAAATGGAAGTCACATTAGCATCTACCTCTCAAGGCTGCTGTTAAGTTTAATTGAGCTAATGTGCATAAAGTGCTGAGCATGACTTTACATGCCATAAACACTCAAAAAAAAAAATGTTAAGAAAACCAAAAGACTCCAAGCCTGCTCATTGCTCAAATGTGAGCACAACCTCACCACCAGCAGAAGATATTATCTTCTCCTATTCTGTCACCTGTGGTAATTAATTTACTCACTCCCTTAAGTTTTTCTGGGAGAGGGGGAAAAAAAAAAAGAAAAAACTAGAGCTGGATAAGCCTACTCTTCAACTTCACCCTTTAGGCTTGGATATTCAAGATAAAATAATTACCTTGTAATATTGTATTTAATAAAATGTTTAAGACCCATGTTTTCATATTATAGCATCTTTGAAACAGGAATGCATCTTACAATTGATGGCATTTTAGGTTCAATGAATACAGTAAACTATGTTCTTGGTTAGTTCCCATGCCAAATATATAGTGTTTCTAGATTATATGAATTACAAAGAATTTTTCGGTGGCCTCACCTAGGAAATATTACTGTTTGTGATGTTGTGTCTATGAGATATTTAATAAAAGAAATTTTGGAAAAATAACATCTTTTTTGTTAAGTGAAAACGAAAGTGCAAAATTACTTTGATAATCCTGACCCAAGGTCTTTTAACACTTAAAAGACACCAGAAAAATAATTCAATTGCAAATAGATCAAATTAAAGTGAAGTTCTGAATAACAAATGAGATTGATAAGAAATTTGACTTTCTAGAAGAGTGGGGAAATAACCCCATAAATCACCTGCAACCTTTGTCCTCCTAAGTCACTTTGCAAAATGGTAAGCACATTACATAGCCCTAAACTCATTTRGTCCTAAAATCATTTAGGATGGCTCATCTTCATGGGAAAAAGGAGGATGTTAGTGTAGGTAACAAAATAGGCAAGCCAAGACATATTTAAGTGCCACCTGTGTTTTATATTCTTTTTCTTTGTTAACAAAGTACTGAAAAGTCACTGCTCAAATCAATAGCTTACATGGGGCATAATCACAGATACATCTTCCTTACATTCCAGTAACTAATGACCCACAATATCAAAAAATGTTGCTCCTTGCTGGACTCAGGGGCTCACGTTGGTAATCCCAGGTACTCTGAAGTATAAGGCCGGGAAATCCTAAATTCGAGACCAGCCTAAGTGTGAGATTCTCCCTCAAAGTAAAAAATAAAAAGGTCTGGGGATGTAGCTCAGTAGTAGAGCGCCCCCGGGCTCAATCCCCAGTACCCTAACAGAAAGGGGAAAATAAAGTTAATCTTTGTTCTGTTACTGAATTAATTAATTTTTTTCCTTCTCTCCCTCCTCCTTTCCCTCCCTCCCTATTCCCTACCCCGCTCCCTGCCCCTGAAATCAATGCCTGAAAAGCACGTCTCTRCTTTGAGAAGTAGTCAGAACCATCAAACCCAAACAAGGTCCTTCTGGATCCCCCTCCYTGGGCAAGTGATCACACCCTGGCCTGCACAGTGTCTCAAGCGCTCAGGAGATCTAACATCCGGAGTGCCTCGCTGCCTCACCCCCGTTATCTTTCCTAGTGTAAGGACAAGGCTCTGAAGCACAGCGGGATCTCGGTCTTGGAGAAAGACCAGCCCTAGTCCTAGGGCGTGAGAAGTTCACCATCCCAGTGGGTAAACAGACTGCAGTGGTGACGACTCCGCGGTCATCCCCCAAGAAGCAAGAATTAACAAGGTGTTCGTTTCGCAACTTCAACATCAACCAATTCTTTATTCCCCAGCAATAGCACCATCACCACTCGCAAAAAAAAAAAAAAAAAAAAAGGAAAGGAAAAAAAATTGCGAGTCGCCCTCCTTCCCGCTTCCTATTTAGAAATTCCGGAGCCGCGGGCACGGACCTCCCTCTGGAGCAGGGAAATGGTCCAGGACAAGGCTTGGCAGGGAGTCCTCAAATGCTCCCTACCCGCTCTCTCTGGCTTCCCCGGGCCACCGCTGAGCCCTCCAGGTCGCCCCTGGGCTCTGGGACCAGGAGGTCCAGCTCCCGGGAGACTCCGGCAAACAGCTGGAATCGCTCCGGCGATCTCAAAACGCATCTGGCCGACTGACCTCCCTCTCCCCACACACGCACCCACCCATCAGCTTATCCTTCCCCTGGTCCCCTCCTCACCCCGTCCGCTCTGGGACGCCAACCGGTCCCCTGCAGTCCTGGGCTCCCAAGTCGGGACAGAATCGGCAGCGAGTTCCCAGCAGAAATTGGGCTGGGGGGCTGGGAAGGAGGAGGTGTTTGCTTAACTTTGGAAGACGTCACGCCTCTTCTTYCTGCAGCCAATCAGAGGCCGCCCTGAGGGAACAACCTCCTCCTCCACCAATCGGCGACGCTGCCAGGTACTAGGTCATGCCCTGCCCCTACTCCTCCCCAAAAGTCCGTCAGCCTTTCAGATCTCTGACCTGCGTGCGTAGCGGCGGGGATCCCATCATCCCTGGGCGGTCACTGACCAGGTTTGTAAAAAGGAGGCAAGCGGGTACAGAGAAGGACGAAAATAGTCTGGGCGTTACCCGCGAAATAGATGTGCACAGCTCCTGGGAAAAAGTTGCCCGCGCGTGTGCCTTCCGATACACACTCTTCAGAGGATTTTTCCGGCCTGCAACAAGTCTATAGAGCCAGATGACAGTTCTTAGAACAATTTTGGAATCCAAATAGCAGAAATTCAATGTGGTGAACCCCCACTCAATATGGTGAAACCCCACTCAATGAATAGAAATTTGTGAATGGAAAAGTTCAGTGCTCTTGAAAATACTGGCAGGATGATGATGATGATGATGATGATGATGATGATTATTAATGTATTTCCCAAGACTAGTCCCAGCACTAGGGAAGAACCACCTGAATTCCAGTCGTTGTTCCCCAAGGAGAAAATAGCCATCATCCCTCCTGTTTTTACAACTTTCTCCACCACTTACTCTTTTCTATGCCTGCAACAGATGCGTTTAGCTACATCTATCCTAGAACATTCTTGGAACGCCACTGCTGTCTTCCATTCGCTTCTCTTCCAAAGACATGAGGTTGGAATGTTCCTCTGTGTCTTTAGTTTCACACATCCAAAAATCAAATTCCTAATCCATCTCCTGAAGTCTTCCCACTTTTGTGGGTACAGGGAGAATTCAGGCAGGTCCTAAGCACACAGAGTTACCAGGTAGGGTGGCATTACCTGCCCACCCTCAAATGCCTCCAGTTGACCCTCCACTGCCTGTGAATCATTGCACCTAATAAAGTTATTGTCAAGTCCCTTTTTGGTTACTTTGTATCTCAGAAATTTTCTTTTAAAAATATGTGCATGAGAAATACCATTCTTTAAAATAGGAGATTTTGAGTATTTTCCTCAGTGATATTTGCTATAACAGGTGATGGTCTCAGAAATTTCTTTGCAATGTAAAGGAACAATGGATGAGAGTGAAAAAAAAACAGACCTTGAATATATCCCAACTCAGCTTGTATTGTCAACTCCTCAAACTCCTTCAATATGAAAGGCCTGCTGCCCAAATGGGGGCTGACTCAATGTTCCTGGAATTGGAAGGTTGATTCTAGGCCATTCAAACTGCTTTTCTTTCTCTTTAACCACTTTGCTTTCCCTCTTCTTTTATTGTTCCTTGCTTTTCTTCTCTCTGAGAGGTCTTGAAGGTACTTAAGCATGGAGTAAATGGAACCTAGACTTAATCCCCTCCTTTGTCACTCACTAGTAAGTCACTTAGCCTCTTTAAACCTCATTTTCCATAATCAGTACAGTGCAGAACTTCACAGGGTTGTCAAGATTAAATGATGCATGATCTCAGTATATGAAAGCTAATGTTGAGGCATTTGTTTAGTCAACTTTTCCTCACTGAGAAAAACAATTGAGAGAAAGAAAAATTTATTTTGGCTCACAGTTTYGGGGGAGTCAGTTCATGGCTGACTGGTTGCTTTGCTTTGGGCCTCACTTAAAGCAGGGCATGGGAAGGAAAGCTGCTCAGCTTGTGGCAACTAGGAAGCAGAGTGAGAGGAGGATGTGTCCAAGGACAAGATACATTATTCCAGGGCATGCCCCCAATGAACAACTTTCTTCATCCTTGCTCCCTGACCCACAGTTTCCAACACCTCCCAGTAGTCCATTCAGCTATCAATGGATTAATCCACTAATAAGGTTGGAGACTTCATGATCCAATCACTTCCCAAAARCCCCACCTCTGAACATTGTTGCACTGTGGAATAAGTCTTTGTCACATGATTCTTTGGAGGAGCACTTCATATCCAAACCATAGCAGGTTTAGTATTTTTTCCTGTCTCATCTTCCCCTCACCTTTCATTGCACTCACAACCCAGTCTCGTTCTTAAACAACTTTGTCATAAGAGAAAAGACATGGGCATTCAGGAGAATGAGAAAATAGACAGGAATTTGATATTTCCTAGATATTTCTATTTATTTCTCAAAACTTTTTACTTCTTATATGAACAGCAATTTTTATAACATMATCTCTTGTCCATCCATAATAGAAAATTATTCCACTTTTTATAAAGAAAACTTTCTCTGGACTACAGGTGCAAATTCAAATGATTTTTTTTTTCAAAAATAAGTAGTTTAGGTAAGAGTAGTTTTTAAAAGACAACTACTATTGTTGCTCTAATTCCCAAGTTCTGTTGGGAATGAAGCCTAYCTTTTCACCTTTCAAGGAATTTGAAACTCCATTTAGGTGAGGCAAGAGCAGAACTACCSTCTGTTAAATCTAAATTAGAACTCCTGTACCAAGGTTGTGGGTGGAGTTACTGATATCCTGAGAGATTATTCTACCACCACCACCACTTCACTACCCAATACCTTCAGATGAAAGAAGCATTGAATATTAATTTCTAGTTCACCTTCTCTGCCTGGAAAATAATGCAAGAAATTTCCAACTTAATTTGAATTTCCAGGGTCAATTTTTATTGTCTCCAGGACTCATGGCTTCAGTTGAGAGTTCCTTGKGCAGGGCAAATCACTCAACGAACCTGCTGCTCATCAACATTTGCTTAGTAACTGCTTTTATAAGTCTACAAGGACATATAAATTTTCAGCTACATGTCACTATACTTAATGGGTTACATAAAAAGTAYATGCTGTAGTAATATAAGCCAATTTTTGTTATAATCTCAGTAACACATGATGGGTCTAATGTCTCAAATCAAGGAAGAAAACCAGTGTTCCTCCCCCAGTCTCTCCTGACAGAAGAGAAGATGTGTAAACTTATGTAAACCTTTGGAGATTAAGTTGAGAATAGCTAAACTGCCAGGTGGAAGAGATAAGAAGAGTCAGAATTTTGTCCTTCTAGTCCAAGTCTGGATAAACTAAATGAAATCAACTCCTTACAATAGTTTATCTCTCTGTTAAGATGGGAAGGAAAAACAAATTTAAAAAAAAAAAAAACTTTTTCAGTGTAAGAAGTAGCAGGTTAGGAAAATAATCACAACTAAGGCAAGTTCATAACAGAAAGCTTAAGGTAGAGAGAGTACCCAAGACATTAAACTGACTATTACGTTACTTGCAGTCTGTATAGATCCTCAGAAACAGATGTAATTGAATTTGAAAGGGACAGAAAAAGAACAGCAAGTGAGGATGCTCCTGCCAGATGGCAGGCATAGGCATTTCTGTGCTGTAATTTACACATATATCTAATAAGGAAAGGTCTTATATTTATAATATATACAGAAATTTTGTATATCAATCATAAAAAATGAGATAGGCAAAAGGTTTGAATTGACCATTCTCTAAAGAAGAAATGCAAGCGGTCATTAAGAACATGAAAATGAATGTAATATTATTTTCCATTAGAGAATTGCAAATCAAAACTACAATGAGATATCATCTCATACTCATTAGAATGGTAATAACAATAATAATAATAATAATACAACTATTGGTGAAGATGTTGAGAATTTGGAGCCCTCATATGTTGCAGGTAGAAAAGTAAAATTCAGTCCCTTTGGAAAAAAAGACTGGCATTCCTCAGATGCTTAAACAGAGTTATCATACAATTCAATAGTTCAGCTCCTAGCTAGGTACCCAAGAGAAATGCAAAATGCACGTCTGCCAAAAAAGAAACATTGCACACAAACATTCATAACAAAATATCCTAATACCCAAAATATCCTAATTCCAAAAGTGGAAACAATGTCAATRTCTGTCAACTTATAAGCAGACAAACAAAATGTTCATAAAAATGGTTTATTTTTCAACAATATAAATAAATGAAGTACTGACACATGCTACAACATGAATGAACATGAAAATATTTACTAAGTGAAATGAAGCATACAAAAAACATATGATATATTGTATTGTTTAGCTTATATAAAATGCACAGAATGAGTGAATCTATACATAAAAATGTAGAGCAATTAAGGAATTTGGAGCCCAGCCCCACAATATGTAGATCGGAGCCAACTTTTTCTTCTGTCAGACGCAGAGCCTCTGACWTGATATCAAGCTCTTTGATCCATTTTGAGTTAACTTTTGTGCATGGCTAGAGAAAGGGATTCAGTTTCATTTTGTTGTATATCTAGCCAATCCCTAAAAAACAAATGTCAAATGTCTTCTTTGATATAAGGAGAGCAACTACGAACCGAGCAAGGAGGAAGAGCATAAAAAGAAGATTAACATTAAAGAGGGATGAGAGTTGGGAGGGAAAGGGAGACAGAAGGGAAATTGCATGGAAATGGAAGGAGACCCTCATCRTTATACAAAATTACATATAAGAGGAGGTGAAGGGAAAGGGGGGAAAAAACAAGGGAGAGAAATGAAGTACAGTAGATGGGGTAGAGAGAGAAGATGGGAGGGGAAGGGAGGGGAGGGGGGTTAGTAGAGGATAGGAAAGACAGCAGAATACAACAGAYACTAGTATGGCAGTATGTAAAAACGTGGAKGTGTAACCGATGTGATTCTGCAATCTGTATACGGAGGAAAAATGGGAGTTCATAACCTACTTGAATCAAATGTATGAAATATGATATGTTTAGAGCTATGYAATGTTTTGAACAACTAATAAAAAAAGTGATAAAAAAGTAGAGCAAAATTTGTCAAATGATGGGAGAAATGAGGGAATTGACAGATGATAGCAAAGAGGTACAGAGTTTCTTTTTGTGTTGATGAAAATATTCTAAAGTTTGTTGTGGTGATGATTAGACAAATCTGTGAATGTAATAGAAGCTGTTAAAATGTATACTTTAAATAAACTCA